CCACACTTATCGATGTCATCAATAGAGTGGAGGCGTTGACCACCGAAAAAGTCTTGGGATTCCACTGAAACACTCGCTGAACGAATTGAAACAACACACCAATCGATCCATTATTAGTCAACGTTATCAGTGTCAGTGATATCATTAAAATCCATATTTGTTTGCGCTTTCCGTCGGCCCTGTGTTTGGTACACGTGCTCCACATGTCCCTCACGTTTTGCATGTCAAACAAGTCTTTGAACATTTCATACCAGTGCACATCGGGCGCCGGTATCACACTGTGAACCTCATCTACCGCTATAGGCGCCGCAGATTCGGTTAAACTATTTTGCGATAGAGTGGCACTACTGGCGCACCGGCTTTCCTGTTCGCACAAACTTATATCCAGCACCTGTTCCACTGTTTTTATTTCATCACAAAATGTGACACTTTTCTTAAGCAACGGTTCCCTCTCGTCGTTATTGTTGACGACTTCTTCAGTGATACAAATCTCTTGAATCTTGTCGAAAGTTTTATGAGTTTTACTATAAATGCGTTTTTCAAATGGTATCCAAATAATCCAAACGGTGGCCAACACTTGCGCTATAAATCCCACTATAAATACAGAGCTATAGTCGTGTAACTGTCCATTCGGTCCCTTAATTATATTCCCGATCAATGATCCGCCAATAAATATGCCTAACGGCGCGGCTATAAATCATTTTCAGTATTAAAGTTAATTAAAGTATTTGAAATTTATTTAATAAGTACTTACAAACAAATATAAGTGCCTCTATAATAGCAAATTTAATGGTACGGAACTGGGGTTCGGTAGTTCCCGATACGTAACTATATAGAGACATCATTATGCTTAATAAACCACCACTTAATGAAAACGGCACAAATGCCAGCAATAATAGGTTTACGTCTAAAAAGTGATCAAAACATTGACAATATGTTGATATTTGTATGTATTGTTTGCATACAAACCTAATTGAAAATAAAAAGCGTTCAGATATAGTAAAATACTTTCGATACACGAGGCTATGGATGCTATGCTCATCAGGAATTTGGGTGCATTTGAGTGTTTGTCAGCCCAGGCGCCCAAAAATAGTGACCAAAATATGACGGGAATGGTGTTGATTAGAGTCTTGTAGAGCGTGAATGTGGTGACGTCCGCCAGAATCCGATTCTTTGAATCGCTGGTAACCATTTCACCCAATTGTGCACAATAGTCACCGGTCAGCGCATACCTGGCCACACATATCTTGTCCTGAGCTAACTGTGCGATCGTAAGCCCTTCCAACGAGAAGGCAAACATGTATAGAAATATGAAGGGCTCGACTCTCATCCGTTTGATTGTATCCACACAAGACATGATTGACAGGAATCTGTTGTTTTAAGACTAGAGTATTAATACTTTTTAAATAATACAGTATTTAATGTTTGTTATTATAAATATATACTTTAAATACAAAAAAGTTTATAAACTGCAATTAAAATACTTAGACATATGATGATTTAGTCATTATTTACACATTTATATTGCCGTATCTTAGTTAGACTTGAAGGCTTTAGATAAGATTTATAATATTATCACAAATTGTGATTCATTCAAAATGCTGTACAAATAATGCAATTATTATTAACACATTTTGAAAACAATTCAAAAAGTAAAATATTGTATTGTATTGTTTTTGTATACATTTCTAATGATCCATTTTGTAATTTGATAAATAAATTGTACTTGAAATTAAACATGTTGGAAACA